TTTAAGCATCATTTTCGTTCTCAGTGACCCAGAATTAGTAAAGTTTGGCTACATTTATTTCAGAAGCATTTTGGCTGTAGAGCAGTGTAATTAAAGCTATGTTTTAGTCCTAGGTATTTTTAGTAAATGTCATGGATAGTAAACAATAATTCAGGGCCTGTGACCAATCCATGACTTGTACTATATACCCCTGACTAAATCTTGGGTGCTCCGGGGCAGGGGGCGGCCCAGGACCACAGCTGATACGGGGGGAGAGGGGCAACGCTGGTGCTGGGGGGGACAGACCGAGACCATTGCTGCTGCTGGGGGGAAGTGGGGGCGGGGTCTCAAGACTGCCCCAGTAGCGGCCTGTGCGGCTGTCCCTGGGGTCAGTCACTCTGGCCACTGCAGAAGTCACAGAGATCACAGAATCAGTCACTTCCCTGACAGACAAGGCCTTATGTATAATGAATCCCTTAGAAACAGGCAAGCCAACCTCAAATGCCCATCTCTCTTTCACTTTATCAGAGTATAGAAACATGCAACTCCATAAACCTAGGCATTTGTTCGCTACAACCACACACCATGAATATCTGAACCTACGTTCTGTTAGTTGTTTATATAATTTCTAGTTTGAAATTAACATTTTAAATACTTAGATCAAGAGGATATAGATTTAAACGGTAGTCCTGGTTATGGAATTTTGTTTTCATTCTTCTGCTCGTCTGCTAACAGCAAAGAATGCATAATCAATGTTGCAATATTCCTATTAATTTAATGTTAAAAGTCATATCCTAAAACTCAAGACAAGTGATAGCTGCACCATAAGAAAGAGATTTGTTTTGTAAGGTTAACAATTTTGGAGTTTTTTATTTATTTTTTAAAAGAAGTCTGAGAATCTAAGTGAAGACCCTATTACCTGCAGATTTAGGTAAGTTTTTAAGGAAGTCCTTCCGGTCCTCTTCATGCAAGATGCTGTAGACACTTGTATTAACCAAATCCTCTTGTTTATACTGCAGATATTGTGTGACATTTTCTGATACAAATACAATGTTCCCATCTCGATTTACTACAAACAGGAAACCATCCAATGCCTAAAAATACATTGCAACAATACATTATAAACACACACACAAAATTCCAGACCTGCTAAAACGGTTCATTTTAAAAAGTAAGTGGGAGATAAAAGTGTTGTAGTTTAGGAGAAGAATCACCTAACTTTTCTGGTAGAAGAATTAAAGTTTCAAGTTTTCCTTAAAGAGAAACTTTCCTAGTAAGGAAAGTTTCAAGTATCAGAAACCCGCTGTTCATTTGTTCTTCCACTATTGATCTTAACATGGTGATAATCAAACATTTGGTTTTTAACTTTTTTAGCCTGGAAACATGACACTGAGTCTGTGACATCTGAGTAACTTCTTTAACAATACAATGAAGTCAAAGTCAGGATTATAAATTCGCCACAAGACCTTTAAGAAGTAGAAGTGGAGTGTGAGGGAAATAGCCTTCTTAAGGATATATTTTCAATACCAATGAAGAACATAAAAAAAAAAAAAAGAGAGACTATCCACTTTTTAAAAACCACTGTACTCATTCCCAAATCAGAAACAGCATTAGAATATCTCTAAGACACTTAGCTTTGAAAGTACTTCAAAAACTTGACTCAAAATAGCAGCCTACAACATACTGAACTACTTTGTGTACTAAGCAGTAGGACTGGTTTCCTGGTTTTTAGAACTCTTAATAAAAGTTACCTAAGTGATTCTTACGTAATTTGGAGTCTCAACACATGAGGGCAGCAGCAAACTGATCTACTGTATACGGCAGTGGTCATCAACTGGTCGATTGCGATTGACTGGTCAATCCTAGAGGATCTCCCAGTCGATCAAGATCTCCGGCGGTACAGTGTGGCTGCTGCTAAGGCAGACTCCCTGCCTACCCTGACCCCACACTGCTCCCGGAAGCGGCCAGCACAGCGCAGCTCTGCGGCCCTGGGGATGCAGGGGTCTCCCTCCACGCTCTACTCCTGCCTACAAGCACTGCCCCCGCAGCTCCCATTGGCTGGGAGAGCTGCGGGGACGGTGCTTGCAGAGAGGAGCAGTGCGCAGAGACACGTGCCCCCAGCAGCACCCCCACCCCCAGGCGCGTTGGCCCCTTCCGGGAGCGGTGTGGGACCGGGGTAGGCAGGGAGCCTGCCTTAGCCTCGCTGCGCCCACCGCCTACCGGGAGCTGCCGGAGGTAAGTGCTGCCTGGTGGGAGGCCGCATCCCAACTTCCATTGCTGACCCCCCTCGTGGAGCAAGCACCCCATACCCCCTCTTGCACCCCAAACCCCTTCCTGAACCCCAAGCCCCACCCTGAGCCACCTCCCAGAGCCAGCAACCCAAACCCCCTCCTGCACTCCAAGCCCCAGCCCTGAACCTCCCCCGGGAGCCAGTACCCCATACCTTCTCCTGCACCTCTTCCCAGAGCCCGCACCCTGACCCCCTCCTGACACCCCAATACTCTCCCCCAGCCCGGAGCCACCTCCTGCACCCAAACTCCCGTGTAGAGCTTGCACCCCCCACCCCCTCCCAAACCCCTGCCCCAGCCCAGTGAAAGTGAGTGGGGGTGGAGGAGAGCAAGCGATTGGGAGGGAGTGAGGGGGGCTTTGGGGAAGGGGCAAGGTCTTGGGAAAGGGGCGGGGTAGATGCTGGGTTGCCCTTAGATTCAAAAAGTGATTTTGGGCGTAAAAAGGTTGGAGACCACTGGCATACTGGAATTGATCCTAAGAAGCACCATTCTGCACCTGTAACTTCCCCTTAAGACAATGGGAATTCAGGTGTTCATTGCTTCCCAGAATCAGACCCCCGGTCTTACAGACCATCATCAAGCCATGAAAGTGGCCCAAAGTCCTTGATGCCCATTTCCTGAGGCAAAAAGGGGGGGGGAAAACTTGAATGCGGAGTCTAGTCAATGTAATCTTATTAGCCATTTATTGAGACTACTACAAAAATAGAACAGCATGCTAAGGCAAACCCAAACGCCATCTGATTTTGAATCCTTCTAGATTGCTTCAGCAGAGTTGAGAAAACAATGGTGGATTTTATTTTTTGTCCTTTTAAAACAATTTTCTCCATTGCCCTTGCACGCTAGTTTTTGTTGTAGGACTGCTGGCATTTCTCAGTGTTGTAATCCTGTCACATAGCCTATTGCTTAAGAATATGCAATATCAAATCTCATTTGGTTGTACTAGGGCATCATTTACACTTGCCTGTAGTAAAAGAGGTCCCAATGAATCCTTATCAATAACCCCTTGACCTGTAGAAGATACATCAGCCTTCTGTACATCATCATCACAGGATGCTGTTTTTCCTAACATCAAAAAGACAAGTTTTCAAAAAGGCACCATTTTGTGTTTGGAAGCATAGAAATATATTTTTGAAGTTATGTGCTGCATTCCAGGAAGCCTGAGAATAAGCAATGAAGCTGTAATTATATGATTCCATTTAATGTTACAATTATATGCACAAAGGGAGCACAACACTTTTTTTATACGGTAGAACTTCTGGGCAGAGATTGTCTTCCTGTGTGTTTTGAAAGCACCTAGCAAATTTTGGATTCTGCCACACCACTACCACAAACAGTTTTCATGACAAAACTTCTTCCACTGGGAAGATGATTGCTTTATGAAATGACTGCCCTCCTTTGGTCACTTTTGGCTAGCCAGCACAAACTTTTCAATATAATGAAAAGCTTCCTAATTCTTCCCTTCTTCCTGTACAACCATGTGGAAGATAAACATTTTAAATCATGTTAAGACTTAATTTGAGTTTTAACCTAGAAAGTAATCCAATTTAACATGCAGAATGTACGGTTTGCTCATTTAATTGTGTTCTTGGATCCAAATCAAAATACAAGACCGGAAACAAATTCTCCCTTGGCCTTCTGCAGATTACTTAATCATATCTGATGCCAATAATTAAAACACTTTTTCAGCATTTTAACCTAAAATATACTGAAGAAAAAGTAAAAGTTTGTTACAAGGAAAAAAAATAAAAATAAAACCATGCAGTAAAGTAATGGAAAACAAGCAGTAATCTCTATTACTGTGGCACCTACTGGCTGTTTAAGCAGACCACAACAGGAGTTTAATGTACCAAAGGAAGATTATCAACCAGTGAAGTGCACAATGAAGTGGCAATAATGCCACCGGGAAAGAACTTCTAAAATAGCAATTAAGGCTACTTTAAAAAATAGAAACACGTTCCAACAGGGCAGACAAAGCAGAATTTGGAAGTTTACCATTCCAAGTAAAGTGTGTGATATATTCCAGCAGTCTTCTAACATAATTTACGACTGAGTGGAAACTCACTGAACTGGCATATACCTGATGTGCAATCTATTCTAATTTTTTTGAAGTCACTTCTACCAGCACATGTCTCACAATTACCAGAGGTTTAGGGGGAAACAGCAAATTTAACAATTATATTTGTCTGATTTGTTTAAAAAACTACTATTGTTACAAGTAAAACCTAAAAACCATCCTGTAACTAAGACATTAGCAAAATAGATGTTCCTCTATATTTTCCCCCGTTTATTCTGCACTTGATTACATTCGGTGTACAGTTAATGGCACTTTTTAATTGGTTACATGGTCAGCTAGTTGCAGTCTGACTGTATTGGACCCCAGTTATTTTCTCTTGCTAGAAAGGCTCTCAAACACCAAAACAGGAGCAGAAAAGACAGAAAAATGTAACATGAATTTTAAAAAATAATTTAAAATTTCAGGACATAGCACTGAAAGGATGCTCTATAAGGAACTGGGCTTCTTTTATAAATTAGTTTCAGACAATCCAAGTTGGCAGGGAACCTTTAATTGATAGGCAATAGATGGATTTCTTTACTCCAGTGGGCAACTAGTCCATCTATGTTTTGAAGAACAACTGCTTTATGACCTATTTTAAGTTTTTATTGCTTGTTTAGTAGTTTAAGGACGCTAAGAAGAAATGGTGTACTTTAGGCCCTGATTCAGGAAAGCTTCCCTATTCATAAAGAGTGTTAAATATAATGCTTAAAGTTAAGCAAGTGCTTAAGTCCCACTAAGCACATGCTTAAAATTAAGCATGTACTAAGTGCTGAATAGGGAATAAGCCCTGAACAGGAATGGATTTAAGCATGTGCTTAAATGCTTTCCTAAATCAGGGCCTATTGTATGAAAACTCCATTGTATTGTCTCAGCAACTAAGTATGGTTTTGGAGAGAAACTGCCTCCTGATAGAAAACCAAATATTCTTCCTTATAATTTGAGAGAGAAATCCTTACCTTGTTCCTTTATCTGCCGGATCTGTCTTACAGTTTCCTTTAAAATTGCACATTTATCTGGTTTGACATTGAAATTGTCAATGTCACTCAGATTAGCAGATATCAGCTCAGCTAGCTCCTCAATATATTTGCTTTCCTGCTCACGTCGGCGTTTCTCACCACTGCAGATCAGACTAGGAACAAGAAGCAGCATTTAATGTACATAAATTTCAGCATAAACAAGAACTATGATCACACTGTCATCTTTGATGCATTTAGATACCACTTATCACATAAGTTTAGCTAGTGGACATTCATCTCATCAATTTACACCTGTAGGTTTTTACAGAACCATATAAAGGAATGTATCTTTAGAGATTATGATAAGATTATTATTCCAAGAATAACTGTTGTAGTTATTGTCTTACTGAATTTAATGAAAATTCCAACTATTACAAATCTAATGTATTTGTACTATAGAGGCATTTTAAGGTGGAAAAAGCTGCAGCACCTGCTTGGCCAATAAGCTATAAACAAAGTTTTACATCTAATTCAATGGCATTTCTCTGTCAGTAATACAATAACTTTGGAACCCTGCACCCATCAATTCCAGAATTTCAGGAAATGTTCTAGATATCAGTGGGCACAAGTATGTGGATTTAAAGGCAGATCAGAACACCAGAAAAGCTTATTTCACAGGAAAATCAGGGCTTCCAGAGTGACTGGTGTTGCAGGCAGAAGAATCTCTCTGCTGCCCCTGGTGGAGGTCTACACATACCAGAAGCAGCATCTTAACTGGCTGCATGGGGACAGCCTGTAGTTTGGAATATCACAGAAATAAGAAAGCTTTACAAGTAGCAGGGAGGACCTAGGTGGCTGGGTGTGGAAGTAGGAATCTAGAGGGCAATGGAGATGGGGAGGGAAAAGCAGGGATCCAGGGAAACGTGGAAAATGGGGACAGTGGGGAGGGGGTTTGTGTCAGCAACCTGGAGAGGGAGGAGTGGATATGAGTAGGGCCCTACCAAATTCACAGTCCATTTTGGTCAATGTCATGGTCATAGGATTTTTAAAATTGTAAATTTCATTATTTAAGATATTTAAATCTGAAATTTCACGGTGTTGTAATTGTACGAATCCTGATCCAAAAGGAGGATGTTGGGAGGGGCGAGGGGGAGAAGAGGTTCACTAGGTTATTTTAGGGGATTGTGGTATTGCCACCCTTACTTCTGCACTGCCTTCAGAGCTGGGTGGACAGGGAGCGGAGGCTGCTGGCTGGGAGTCCCCAGCTCTGAAGGCAGAGCTGCTGCCAGCAACAGCACAGAAGTAAGGATGGCATGGTATGGTATTGCCACCCTTACTTCTGTACTGCTTCCTTCAGAGCTGGGCCCTCTGTCAGCAGCCGCCACCCAGCTCTGAAGGCAGCAGCACAGAAGTAAGGGTGGCAATACCACGATTCCCCCTAAAATAACCTTGTGACACCCCCCACAACCGCCTTTTGGGTCAGGACTCCCAGTTTGAGAAACGCTGGTCCCTGTGAAATCTGTATAGTATAGGGTAAAAGTACACAAAAGACCAGATTTCGGAGGGAGGGAGGGGAGACCAGATTTCACGGTCTATGGTGCGTTTTTCATGGCTGGGAATTTGGTAGGGCCCTAGATGCGAGGAAGGGAAAATGGGGACTGGGTGTGTGTGCTAAGGACTTGGGGGCGGGGGGGGGGGGACATGGGGGAAAATACAGAAACCCTACCACGAGGGGAAGGGAGGAGGCACACAGAGAATCCGGCATGGGGAAGGCAATGCAGGACTTTGGTATGCGGGCAAACACAGAGACCCAGGCATGGGGGGAAAAGGGGAACTGGAGGTGCACACAGAGCCTTTGCCATAGGGGAAGGATATGGGCACACAAAGAGCCCCTAACATGGAGAGGGTGAATAGGGGTCAATGGCATGGGGGGGGAGAACATGGGTTACACAGAGCACCTTGGCCTATGGAAGAGGGGGTTATGGGGGACATTCAGAGCTTCTGGCATGAGGGTAAGGGTGGAGGGACTTGCAGGGAGTCCCTTAAAGGATTTTATCAACTGAATACAAATGAATAGCAAAACTCTTTTAATATTAATTTCAATTAAAAACAAAAAACAAAACACCACGCTGCACTATTTATCATTTTATTATGAAAAATCTAATAAAAACAGTGAGGAAAATGTGTTTACTGTACCCTGGTCCTGGGGCATCACAGGGCAATGGCTTGCGTTTCCTTGACTCACTGGTCAAGCTGTCCAAGGAGTTTTCTCCCAATCCACTCATCTTGATTGAGCAACAGCCAACTGAGTTTACATCAGCAACTGAAGTGTTTAAAAAAAAAAAAATCAAACTGATGATGCTCTCTCAAGAGATTTCAAACAATTAAAATAAACTGTTTTACAGTATTCTTTATTGATTTTACAGTGAGACTATCCAGATAAGCACTAAGTCATAATTTATAGCAGCCTTGCAAAATTGTAGTCACCCCAGGATGCATGATATTTTTGGGACCAATGTGTAATATATTGCTTTAACTATCAATCACTACTTACTGCTCTACATGATGCAAGAACTTGGAGGATCAAAAGCTTGAGGAGCTCAAAAAATATCGTGTGGTCAAATTATTGCTAAGAAAAAAAATACTGTAGATTACTGCACATGCTCAGATGCAACATACTTTCTAAGCACTATATAACCAGAGCAGTATACACAATCCATATTTTTTTTAAAAAAAAACCTCTCTCCCAGATCTGTACCACTTGCTGGAAAAATCTAGGACATAAGAATCAACAGCTTCTTCAGCAACAGATGCATAAAATATCACTGTCAAGATAGAAATGTTACCACAATTGTTACATACCCTCTGACTTTGGCGATTAAATCACCATCTGAGTTAATGAGTGTTTTCCAGGGAGCAGTAAGGAAATTACACTCAGTGCTAACTAAGAAGTGCCTTTAGATAAAGAGTAATTTTTGGCTCATAAAACACTGGATCATTAAACAGCTATGCTAACCACAGGCACAGAACATGTGTTTTAAATATTTGCCAAAACAATTCTCATGTCTGTCAACAAATCACAAATTCTTGCAATCACATATTCTATAAAAATGTTTACTTACCTGTACAGTAACTGTTGCTCTTTGAGATGTGTTGTGCACATATACATTTCACTACGGATGCTTGTGTGCCTAGAGCACTCGAGTTGGAGACATTTTTCTCCAGTACCACTATGCAGTGCATGCTCTCCTCATGCTGTCAGCTGAGAGCATAAAAAGGTGTGTGGTTGCCACCTTCCTCTCAATTACTTTGCAATGCTATATGTGATGTCTGAAACAGTGGGAAAGGTGGGAGGGTCAGGGAATGTATATGTGCACAACACATCTCAAAAAACAAGACAGGTAAACTTTTTTTCCCCCTTCAAGTGATTGTGCACATATACATTCCACTGCAGGTGACTCGGCAGTTCCCTTATAATGGAGGGATCTTGGATCATCTGAACAGAGATTGTAACACTAAAGTTGGCATGATCACGAGTGGCTTAAGTGATGGTGTAATGAGAAAAAAAAGTAAGTACAGCTGACACAATCACTGCCTTGCAGATATCAACTATTGGAACATTGCTCAGAAAGGATAATGAAGTGGACTGAGCCTGGGGCTGTTTTTCTTGGTGGAAGAGAGACTTAGCAAGATTGTAGCAGCGCTTACTGCAGTCAGAAATTCAGTGCACAATTCACTGAGATGACACTGATAGAATTATGGATCACTCATCATAGACTACAAAAAGCCTGGGGGTAGTCCTGAAGAATCTAGAGTTGTCCAGTTAGATTGCCAAAGCTCTACAAACATCCAAGGTCTGAAGCGTTTTTTCATCTTTAGAAGAATGGGGTTTTGGAAAAACAAACAAAAAAACAAACAACAGAAAATGAATATTTGATTCAGGTGGAAAGCTGACATTACCTCAGGCATAAACTTAGGGTGTGGCCTAAAAGAAATCTTGTCTTTATGGAAAACTGTGAAAGGAGGATCACCCAGGAGAGCCTGAAATTCTGAAATCCTCCTAGCACAATTGATTGCCACCAGAAAAGCTGTTTTCAGATACAATAACAATAGTGAGGAGGAAGCCATAGGCTCAAAGGGGGGCCCTAGGAGTTTGGAGAGAACTCAATTGAGATCCCATACAGATGCAGGATCAGACACCGGTGGGTAAACATTGAGTATATCTTTCAAGAGACTCAGAAAAAGAGAAGGTGAGAGAAAGTGGAAAACCCATCTACTGGTGGATGCAGTGTAGAAAACAGAAGTCACATGAACCCTCATGGAACTAACTGAAAGGCATGATGATTTCAGGTGCAACAGATACCTCAGTGTGACACTACGCCCCATATTCTTCATAGAGATATCGTTGTGATATGAATATGGCCTAAGATATGTTTTACGCAAGATGGGTGATGTGAGATATCATTGGAAAGGTTATGATTTACTGAATGTGATTATCCTATTTGTATGCATGTATCATTTCTGTATCTGAAGTTAGGAATATTGACTATGTATCAATTGCAAAAAAGGGCTTGCACCTGGGAAACGCCCATCAGACAGTAGGCAATCAGCCTAGATGGGCCATTAGGCAGGACAATAGGACTTTGAAGATACTAATCTCCCACGTTCCTGAGACAGTGCTTTGACACTGCAGGGTCATGTGATCATGTCACCTGGTACTGGACTCAATCTTGGCCTGCTGGTATTTTTCCACGAACGGGACGGAGACCAAACTGGGCAACGAAGGATTCCTGCCATATGTAAATCATATTTAAGGCAGGGAAGTGAGTTAAATCAGGGCTCCGTCTTCACTGAATCCCATCCCCGCCCAGAATGACTGCTGGAAGATCTAAGAAACAAGGACTGAGGGAAGAGAAGAGCTGAGCCCGGGCCAGAAAAAGTATCTGGCCTGTGAAAGAAAAACCTAAAACAACATTTAGGGTGAGAAATTACTACCGTACTTGTAATCAGTTTCTTTAGTGTACTGAGCTTGGTTTGCACGTGTTTTTTATTTGCTCAGTAATCTGCTTTTATCTGTTTGCTAACCCTTAACATCACTTAAAATCTATCCTTTGTAGTTAATAAACTTGTTTTGTTTTCTTTAAACCAGTTTGTGCAATTCATAACAGGGAATGGAGTGGGGGGCGGGGGGGAGAGGGCCAAAATCTGTGCATACCTTCTCCACATTGAGGGAGGGGTATGCAGTGAAAGACAATACAATTTTGGGTTTACACTCCAGAGGGGGTGTGCACTTGAGTGCTGGGCAACTCCCAAGTGGAGTCTTCCCACAGAGAGCTGATTTCAGTGTCTGTGTCTTTCTGCAGCTGGGTGTGTCTGTGTATGCGCGTGCGCATGTGCGCGCTGGAGGAGGCTTGAGAGCCCTGGCTCAGTAGGACAGGGTGCTGGGACTTCCCTATAGGAAGACTAGTCCTGTAGTTTAGGTTTTGTAGCAATAAAGACCTGCAAGGTGATCTAAAGGATCTCGAAGGTGAGACAGGTTCCTCCCTTTCTGAGTGTGAAGAAGAAATGTAAGCCTCCTCAAAATAGGGAGAAGCAGTTCCTGTTGGGATTCTATGTGGCCTGGGTTTTTGGAGACACATTAGGATCCAAAGGAAGTGAGGGTTGGGGCGTGCGGAAAGCCAACGAAGTGATCAGTGCTGGCATAATTGGGTCAGAAAGATGACTAACAGAGATGAAACAGAATGTTCATTGACAGTGCTGGTGGAACCAAAACACACTGAATCTACTGAAGGGAGGAAGAAGGATTCAGCATGGGTGAAGACACTGGTCTCAACAGCACCAAAGGAGCCAGAGTCAATGGTACTGCCTCAGACAGGAACTCATGAGTGTTTGGATTTGTGAAGCCTTGAACCAATACCAGAGGATTTACCAGAAGATTTTCTGGGAGCAGACCGAGCTGTAGTGGTCTTGTCTGGATCAGAATTCTTGGAAAAAACTTTTAAGCTGACAGAGAAGATGAAGCGTGACATTTGTCACCAGGCTTGTGCTTCAAATCAGAAGCAGTGTGTGTGTGGTGGACTTCTGGTTGATTTTGAGATCAGGGCCTAGCTCCAATGCAGGTTCCACTGCCTCTTTCATGAGATGAACTTTAAGATGAAAGTCCTAGTGGGGAAGGAAATACAAATAGGATATTTGTCTCTCACCTGGCCCTCACCCAGATAAATCAAACAGCTCGTGCCTATTTGTGACGGGGGGAAAGCCCTTTCCATGGCACATTGCTTAAAACCAGGGGAGTTTTTTCATAATAAATCCTCCAGTTAACTACTTAAAACAAAACAAAAAAAACAACAACTTTTCTTCAAGATGTGATGCAGACATGTATTCTATGTGGGTGCGTGCGCCCCTTATGCATCGGAGAACTTTGACTAGCAGTACCTATAGAGGCAGAATTCATGCACTGCTGCCGTAGCCCCTTCCCTGTCTGTATAAAGGTGCCCTCTCAATTCCTTTGCACCAAACATCAGGAATACATAGGAGTACAAATTCTGATACAAGGAGGATGGAGCGCAGGGTCATGGAATACACATCTGCATCACATCTCAAAGAACAGTTACCCGTAGGTAACCATTTTTTTCTTCTCTGAGTAGATGCAGCCATGTATTCCATGTGAGTGACTTGAAAGCAGGTCCCATAAGAGCTGCTAGAACAGTATTAAGGTACCACAAAGGAACTGGCACTTTAACGGTGGACGGAGTCGAGTGACTTCTTTCAAGAACCTTGCTGCTAAGGAGTATGAAAACACCAATTTCCCATGGATAGGTAGATGAAATGCTGAAAAAGCTGCGAGGTGGACTCTCAATGAACTAAATGCAAGAGCAGAAGGCTGAAGATGTAACAGGTACTCCAAGATGTCCTGGAAACAAGCCATCATCAGCTGAATGCTCCAAGCTGTCCATATTGAGAATTGCTTCCATTTGGCAGAATAGGATGCCATGGTGGATAGCTTTCAACAGTGAAGCAAGCCCTGCTGGACTGCTTCTGAACATTATTCTCCTCCTCTTCCTCCTCATCTAGCCATGCAGCATCCACATTCTGAGATGCAGGGAGCAGAGTGCTAGATGCAAAACCTGACCGGGGTGCTGAGTCAGGAAGTTATGATGAAAAGGAAGGGATATGTTTTCCCTGATGCAAATCTGCCAGAGCCTGATTGCCTCCGGACAAACCCCAAGTCTCTTCCCACCTGAGTCCTCTTGGGGAACGACTTGCACATGGAACACCTCTCCTCAATGTGTCCCTCACCAAGACACAAGTAGCATCTTGTGT